AGGGGAGATCTTTCAAACGCTCTCTCTCTCTCTCTATCACACACCATACACGCACACACACGCGCACGCACACACGCACACACGACAGCAGCGACCTGAAAACGGCTTTTTGATCAGTCACGGTTAACTTTAACACCTAAGAAAGGGAGCAGGAATGTTAATTGTGCTGCTGTGTGTCAGGGGCTATGGCTTTTCTTCTTGCCCGGATGCTTCCCGCAGCCGTCGGGCACGTCCTCTGCTCCTTTCCTGGGAAACAGCTATCCTGGGCCAGCAGCAGGTGGCCCTGGGGCAGGTCACAGGTCTTCCTGGCTGGACAGTCTAGGTGTCCTCCTAGCATCGCACGTGACTGCTGTTCAGGTGATACTGTGGGGTCAGCCCCCCCGTGTTCTAGAGACAAAGCCAGCAGGGTGCGCACCTGCGATGTGGGTGTGCCTGGGCACTCACCTTCCAGGCAGGCCTCCCGTGACAGTTGGAAGGAGGAGCAGTTTGCTTGGGGCTCAGAGAGGCAACTGACGTGGGCCAAGGTCACACGGCAAAGCTGAGCTGGGAGCTCTGCGAAGATATCCTGTCCGTGGGACTTCTGGTCCCCAGCCTCAGCCCTTTGCAAATACGGCTTGGACTGCGCCCCATGCCTGGCCCAGCCAGACAGAAAGGCAAGGAGGAGTCAGGTTCCCCGGGAGCCGGAAAGAAGAGGGCTCCAGGGCTCTAGCTATTGGCCCGCCCCGGCTGGCACTATGGAGACTGACCGTGCCAATATACGGATAGGCTTTGAAAGTATCTGGGTTTTGGGGCGCCTGGGTGGCGCAGTCGGTTAAGCGTCCGACTTCAGCCAGGTCACGATCTCGCGGTCCGGGAGTTCGAGCCCCGCGTCGGGCTCTGAGCTGGTGGCTCGGAGCCTGGAGCCTGTTTCCGATTCTGTGTCTCCCTCTCTCTCTGCCCCTCCCCCGTTCATGCTCTGTCTCTCTCTGTCCCAAAAATAAATAAAAACGTTGAAAAAAAAAATTAAAAAAAAAAAAAAAAAAAAAAAAAAAAAAAAAAGAAAGTATCTGGGTTTTTCCAAGGCGTGGCAAAACTAATCCTTAGAAGGCCTGTTTGCAATTCAATAAATACCGAGTTCTTAGCTTGTGCCTAAGATGGATGGACGAAAGGCCAGTAAAAGCCTCTGTCGGTATCTTGCTTTAGGTGGCTCTTGGAAAATTACTATGTTCCCGATGCTAAAGTTTCTAGGGTAGTTGAAAACCTGCCACTTGAATATTGTGCTCATCTCTGCCATTCCGGAGGCCGACTTTGTTGTTGTGGTTGTTGATTTATTTATTTTGAGAGGGGGGAGGGGCAGAGAGAGAGTCCCAAGCAGGCTCCACGCTCATCGAGGAGCCCGATGTGGGATGGGACTTGATTCCATGACCATGAGATCACGACCTGAGCCGAAATTAAGAGCTGGGACCCTTAGCCGACCGAGCCACACGGGTGCCCCTGGAGGCAGGCATTTCTCAGTGTTCCCAACATGTCTGTCTTTGTAAACAGACGGCTGAACCTGTCGGGTCTTTCTCCGTGGCCCCGGGGGCCGCCAGGAG